CCCAATGGAATTTCCCATTGGGAACCTGCTAGCACTAAGATGCTAACTGGTTAGCAAGATGCCTTCCGCCACAACAGTCCCGCCCCCTTGATAATCGACCAATCACATTCACTTTATTCACTCGTGTAAAGTCGGGCACCACTGGGAGAATTCGGAACTGCGACGGTTTGAACGGCCGCTTCCTTACGAGTTTCAGAAACGGGTGCAATACAGTTCGTCTGAGTGGACTTCCTGTGTGATGACATCATAATAAGGGGCGGGGCCCCGAGCAAATCTGGTACCTACAGCGGTTCTGAAGGGTCTTTGGCATCATTATCCAGCTAAAAAAAACGTTGGAATCGACTCGCTGGTCATTTGTGGCTAGCTTCTGTGCAAAGCACCAGTCCCACAGCAGGATGCTGCCACCGCCATGCTTTAGATTGTTGGAAAGAGCTTCATCTACATTCTTTCAAACATACATCCTTTGTTCAAAAAGACATAAATATCTGTTATGTTTGACTGTAAAGTCTTTGTTCTGAAGGCATGAAGAGGCTTCACTGCTCCTAACCAATGGGAGCGTCTGTTTCTCTCACCCTCGTTCTTTGGCGTCGATGTTGTGAACCAGCTGGTCTCTCTGGTTGACTAGAGACACCAGCTCCTGGAGCAGGAGCTGCTCTCTGTGTTTGTGGGCCTGGTTCTTCTGGTAGTCTGAGGCAAGAGGAGCAGCGATGAGACAGAGGAGATATTTTCAGAATTGGTGAAGAGGATCTCATATAGAGTATTATAGAGCGGCGAAGAAAGAAAAGAGGAGCAAACTTCTGCAAAAAACATTTAAATTATGAGATTCATTCAACATATTTTTTTAGAAAAAAAAGGGAAAATCTCTAATGTTAAGAAGATGTAGGTTACTATAATTTCAAACTATAGTTAGAGTGGCTCAGGTTATCCTGATCTACCTCTATAGTTCTGCTGCTATAGGCTTAGACTGCTGGAGGACATAGGGACCCCTTTTTCATCACTCTGCTTCATTCTACCTGATGATCTGGTGAACTGTAAAGTCCTTCAGATGACATCTGTTGTCAATTGGCGCTACATAAATAAACTGAATTGAATTAAATTGAAGTTTTTTTTCCTTTAATCATAGGAAATGTCTGTTAATTTTAACAAATTAATGACATTTAAACATTATTCCTTAGTTTCTTCTTGAAAATATGTTTAATGAATTTTAAAATTTGGTAGAAAATCGCTTCTTTTTTCTCCTCTTTCATCTCCAAAGGCCTTTTAAACTCATCGTATCGCCCAGTCCTAAAGGTCCGATCTTAAAAAGGTTAATGATGATCTCCTGGTTTACCTTCGATCGTCATCATGTCTCGAAGCTCCTTGGTCAGCAGCTCAAAACGTCTTTCCAGGTCTTGTTCTTCCAGCCTGTTGATGATGAAGAAAAGATGCTTCACTAGCTAAGCTGATCTGACAGGTGTCACAGCTCGGGGGCGCTCCAAAGCTTGATATGATGGAGTTCATGGCCGTTTCTCGATTCACTAGAACGCGAGTACGGACTCGTGTTCTCGCCAATTATGTTCTTGAGAAGAAC